TTCTGTGGACCAGAGCAACTTATCTGAGTGCCTCTGGCTCTAAGTGTGTCCTGAGGTTGCAGTCAAGGTGTCAGCCAGGGCTCTCTCTGGAAGGCTCAACTAGAGTTGGAGGATTCACTTGCAGGTGGTTCAGCACCTGGCCATTGACAGGAGACCTCAGTTCCATGCCATATGACTTTACCTTAGGTCAACTCGATGTCCTCATGACAGGGCATCTAGCTTCTCCCAGAGCAAGATCCAGGAGGAAGAGGAAGAGAAGGGAGGTGAGTTGGGAGAGGGAGTGTGAGGTAGAGGGGAGAGGAAAACGGGGAGGAAGAGAAAGAAAGCAAAGTAGAAGCTGAGATGTCTTTTATGGCCTAGCTTTGGAAGTCACACTCCTACATTTTCACACTTTCTTATTGGCTACAAGATCCCCGCTGTGTAATAGGCGAGGAGATGATACAGATGCAGAAGTGTGAATACCGGTGGCCCTCGATGACCTTTACCTTCTGGTATTCACACTTCTGTGAATTCACACTTCTGTGAATACCAGAAGGTAAAGGTCATCGAGGGCCATTTGGGGAGCTAGCTGTCATACTTACTATAGAACATTTACTTTCATTTATTGTCCATCTTCCCCCTAATCTGCCACTTCCCTGTAGGTTACGAAAATGTAACCCAATGACACGATTTGTCATATTGGTCTTTTATTCAAAGACAGATCAGCTACAAAATTTGACTGTCTTGTAAATTCCACAAATCTGTATAAACTATGTAATGAGAACTAAGCTAATAACAGATATTAGAAGCCAATGGTAAATATCATAACTACCATTCTCATTAGAGTTAGGGATAAAACAAGGATGTCTTGATCATCCTTGTTTTTCAACCCTATTTTGGAGGTTCCTTTCAGGATGGTAAAATAAGAAAAAAAGTAAGAGGCAAAAAATATTATAAAAGGAGAAATAAAACTATCATTCTTTGCAAATAATTGTTTACCTGAAAATCCAAATTAAAATGCCTAAAAAAGTATCTGAATTAATAAGAAAGATTAGTAATGTATTTTGTTATGTGATGAACATAAAAATATCCAGTGATAAGTAGTTAACTGATGTCAGGGCAGGAAGTGGGGCAACTAGCTGCTAGGCCTGCTGGGCCAGATTTCCAAATTCAGTGTGGAGAAGAGCAAGAAGACTTTTGGCCAGAAATGTGCCAAGTGCTACACCATCAAGAAGGGCAGTGAGCACAAAAATGCACACCTGTGTGGGCTGCTGGGTGGAAGACAAATAAGGCTCCCACATTTTTCTTGTGGAGACCACTGAGAGCAGAAGCACTTCCTAGGGAGAAGACACACTGTTGGAGCATGTGCAGGATCTAAGGAAGCATATCCCGTGGCCAAAGTGATCTTTTCTGTCTTTAAGAGAAAGGAGAAAAGCTGATCTCAAAATAAGCTATGATGAATAGTATAGTTAACCATGAACTTATTTATTATAAGACAAATTGTCTCATAACTATTTAAATTGATCTCTTATACAGAATACACATGTTTTGTTGAAAAATCCTATTATAAATAAGATGGGTCTGGGATTAGAAGAATATGATTATGCTCTCTCTGTTTTGATAGTAATTTCAATTACTCAATAAGAACTATCTAATTTTTCCAAAAGTTTGATTTGATTTGAAGTTAGATTGCTTTAATAATATGCAGCTTTTTAACAGGTGGTTGTTGCTATCTAAAAACCTAGAAAATAACTGGTTTTTTAAAAACTTAGAAATTGGGAATATCTTTAAATCCTGGGGATATCTACTTTATTAATTCACAGAGTAGAGTAAGACTAACTGATATTTGAATTTATGTTTATTAGCCAAAGTACCTCAGTATGTCAGAAGGTAAGAGTTGAAGGAAGGAGCCCAAAATTAAGAAACCAAATTCTAATTCCCTCTGATTAGCATGTTGCCTTTTGATTAATGTAGGACATTTCAGTATGGTTTATGGATATCTAATATGCCTCACATTTTCTAGTGTTTTCTCATACCAGATGATCTTAATTGTCAGAACGATGAGATATAGGAACAAGTCAAGTTGTAGTGACAGTCTTATCTTCGAACTGAGTGGCTTAGACTAAGTTATGATTCAGCAATATCTTTAAAAGCTGTTCAAAACACAGATATGAAAGTGTTATGTGCATGTAACTGATTATGAGGCTTTCAAAGTATTAGAATTCATTTAGGAGAAAAGTACTTGTCACAAGCAAGAAAGGTGGCTGCTAAAGTAACACCTTGGACGTGTTTGTGTCCTTCCACAATGCCAGGTTTATTGAGTAGAACCTTCTCAGATAAACCAATCGGGTATCCACACAGGGTAACACACAACACACAGAAAGGGGAGCGTACAGGGGCTTATGCAACAGAGAGAAAGAGTACAAATCCTCTGGATTCCTGAAGCGAGCTCTGGAACTGGCGGCACAGATGGTCTCATGTCACTCCCAAGCCAGCGGCTACGATGGACAGCAGGTCAGAGTGCTCGACCCTCCGCGTACACATTCACGATGCTCTGGGGTCGGGCTTGAGCATCCTCTATCTGAGGCGTTCAGCTTATCAGGTCCTTGCAGGGTGGAATCCTTTTGCTTTTCGGCTCCTGCAGTCCCAGCTTCTGGACTGCAGTCTGGCTGATATTTTTGTGGTTGTGGGTGGTCCGGTCACACCCTAAGGGTGTTTCCATTATGTGACTTAGTTGTTTGCCAGTTGACATTACTGTCATGGCTTACAGTGGAGTCCATTTTGTAAAGTCCAAAAAGTTGCCCATTCTTTATGCTCTATACAGTACCGTTGGCACAAATCTGTTAATTATGTAGACATAAAGCTTAAGATAATTTAAAAGCAGATCCTTAAAAAAAATAATGTAATGGAGAGTCCGAATCAAGGTAATGGACTAAGTAAGTGTTCATCGATCTCTCCTCTCCTCCCAAATACCTTAAAATGTCAGAAAATACATTTTTTTTAAAACTCCTTATTGACACTAGGAAATGTTAGCACCAGCCCTCAGAAGGCAGGAAACGGAGCTGCATTTGAATTAATTAGGCTCTGGACTGAAAGATAGGTGCCACAGCCCTGACCACTGGAAGGAAAAACGACTGTCATTAATGTAAGAGCAGAAGCAGAGAATTTTAACCTCTGAGTGAACAGTAGAGTGCCTGGAGGTGGAGGTGGAGGTTTTAGGTAAATCATTTACAGGACTTAAGGAATTGCATTTACTAAAGGAAAGTTCAGGCTTAGTCCTCTCTCTTCTTTTTATATGGAGTTCAGGCAACATTTGAATCCAAGCTAAAAGCTCAGAGTTCTATTCTAAAAAAAAGGGACCACTTGCCAGGAGAGGGCAGTTGTAAGGGACTGAAAGAACATAGGGCAAAGCTTAAGATAATTCCAGACCTTTACCACAGATTCGGAAGAAATAATAAACTAATGGCCGCTCTACCCAAGAGGAGTATAAAATAATCCCTTCTGCTTCCAGGATGAAGCACTCCACATTTCAGCTGATCTGGAAGTTCTCCACCCTGCCAGCTAACTTGCACCTGACATACAGTTAACAGGCCTCACCCATGTCACAGGCCCTCCCATTTAGGAAGAGGCCTGTGGGTGACACTGGCCTAGTGTATGGTAGAAGCCATCCACAGCACTAATCAGCCTATCCTTTGAACTTGAATCATCAATAGACAACCAGAGGTCCTCAGACAAGACTAGAGGGAGCAATAGAGTAAGTTAACAGAAAATAGGCAATTCAGGGAACAGAGAACTTTTAAGAACTATAATTGGAGTCCTCAGAGAGATTTAAAAGGAACCATTAGTAAAGAAGCTTTCTTGAAAACTGATCATAGGATTGCCAAAATTAAAAATCCATAGATGGTCTGAATGGTAGAGTGGATATGATCAAAGACCAAATTATGGCATCTGGAAAATGAAGTCATGGTAGAAAGAATAACACTCTAGAATATGGAGCAAAAATACAGAAATGAAAAATAAGAGGAAGTTTCAGACATGTAGAATTAATCCAGGTCTAACACTGGAGAGGGGTTTCCTCTCCAGTAATGAGGCAAAGAGGACAGCACATAGTCAGTAACAGAAGGTCGACTTCTCATCTGCAATACTGGATACCTTCAAAATGCCGAGGGGAGGATGTCCTGAACCCGGATAATCTTCCCAGGCACACTACCATTCAGGAGGGGGACCAAGCTCAGGTCACATTCTCCCTTGCCAGGACTCGAAGGTTACCACTCATAGTCCTTTCTGAGGCAAAATGAAAAGTGAATTTAAGAAAGAGGAAAATATGGAAGGTATAAAACAGAGCAAATCAAGCCACACTTGTGAGTAGGTATAGATAACTACTAACTTTGGCATAAAGTTTTTTATACCAGCAGGGTCGTTGGGAGGCAGATAAAGGAAAGGAAGGACAAAAGTGGAAGAAGTGTGCTGAAGTCCTCACCTTTCTGGTGAAAGATGTAAATGTTAATTAATGCTGCACATTGTAAATATTATGCATATGTAATAAATGCATGAAACATTTTAATTAGTCAGGAAAGGGTAGAGAACAAAAGGGAAACAACTAGAAGCAGAGAAAATACAAACTGTAATATAGGACACAGAAATAAGTCTGTTAACAATAATAGCTACAATTGAATGGATTCAATGCAGTTAGTAAAAACAGACACTTTTAGACGAAGTTTTAGAAAACAGTGACAGAAAAATTGAATGAGAATGGATTGAAAAATACGTACCAGGCAAATACCAACAGTAAGCAAGTTTAGCAATATTAATGTCAGACCGAATGGAATTCTGGGTTTAAAAAGAGCATTCAGAAGCACGGAGGCATAGTTTACACTTATAAGGGATAAAATTCACTCAGAAGGTACATTGTCATTAACCTCTATGTACTGTCAACATAATACTGTCTTATAAAACCTCAACTTAGAAGTATGACAATGGATATTTTCCATTCTAAATGAGAATCTTGACACTTCTCTTGGAAGCTGATACATCAAGTAGATAATTTAGATAAAGATGGAAAGAGAATTTTTTAAACTCTTAAACTTGATCCAAAATAAATCGATATTAACTTTGCAACCCATAAACAGAGCAGCACAGTCCTTACAAATACTAATGGGATAGTTATGAAAATCAAAGATGACTCACCCCAAACTTATATTTTGCTGGTTGTGCATTTTTTTTGTTGTAAATGATCTTCTACTCTCTAGTTGCTGGGCCCACTTAAAATGTTAAAATTTTTGTATTGGCTGGCAAGCACCCCAAATTGTTCTTGTTGCTCAGGTAGTAGGCGGTCCCAAGGTCTCAACGTTTGTCTATCACTGCAGCATCAGATAGGCTGCCCGCTTCCTGTTGAGAAACCTAGAAGAAGCCTCTATTTCCTAGCCTTCTCCATCCCCCATCTTTGAGAATAGAGAAAACGACCTCTTTGTCAGTGTTGTCTTAGCTTTTTGGAATCCTGGTGAGTCCAGACAAATTGCCAACTGTGGCCCCCAAAACCAGCAGCTCTCTGGTGGCCCAGCTCTTTCCTGTTGATGCTGCTCCCCCAGCCTGCTTTGGAGCAGCCCATTGCTGTCCTCCGGGTTCACCAGAAATCCCCTGTCTACAGAGATACCTACCGTTTCTCCGAAGCCCTCGTAGCTGTCTACCCAGAAGAGATGGGAGCTGGGGGTGGAGAGGGTGAGAGTCATGTGCAGGCTACCATATTCCCCTACTACCACCATAAACACAGACACACAGACACACACACACACCAGTTTTGCCAGGCAGTTTACTAAACACCTTATACATTTCTTCTGGCATTTTTATTCCTCTAATCAGTATCTTTTCTCCCTCCTCCCCCCATACTTCTCTTTTTATAACAAGGAGCTATTTATGAAAACTACCCCAACTGAAGGAAGCTTTACCCATGTCATTGCATGAGTCTTTCAGTCACACTGACAGGCCTGCCCACTGTTGTGAGGAAGACTTTACTGCAGGTCTAAAGCAGACAACCTTGCTCAATTCTTTCTAAACCAGAAAATATAACAGAATCAGTGGTGTGAACACAGTGGGTTTCTAAGCATTTTTCATGTTTCCTTCTATTATGTTGAGGATAAATTTCTTGCTCAAAGTTTTAAAATTAATTTTCCAAGCTAATAGGAAATTCAGTACGACTTATCCAGTGAAGCAAGGGATATAAAGTAAGCTTTTTCACATGCAAAACTGTGATGCATTTTATAAAAATGGTTACTTAAGATGAATGTTTGAGGAGCTCAGTCAAGATGGAAGTGGAAGAGATTCAGCTTAGTAATAAAAATGCAAACGTGTACTATGTACTTCCCCAGATACCCATGCACACACTGTAACTTTAAAGCTGTCTGTTAGAAGGATGAGATGCAGTCGTGAGCCAGACCACGTTGGTTTGGACAGAAATTCTTACAGAATTATTAAGCCTTAAAAAAAGCAAAGGAGATTTATGCATCTGCATTTGACCAATTTGGTTTGGAATAGGTTCATAATGGAAAAGTAATAAAACCATAAGAGACAGTGTCTTCTGAGTACAGTCTCGCTTTTAAAAAATCTAAACATGGGCTGCCCCATTTTGAATAAAATGACTGTAGAAAACCGTCCCATTGGTAATTTTGGGAGGGTTTGTTGTTGTTGTTGTTGTTATTGTTGTTGTTGTTCCCTTTTCATTGATTATCAGCCAGTAGAAATTTTAAGCATTCTGCCAAATATTTTTTCTAGAGATGTCAGTCTTATTAAAAAGGTGTTGTCTGTGAGAGTCTCTCCTCTGGTCACCCCCCCCCCCACACACACACACACACGTGTTTATTTAGCTATCAGTAAAGTCTTCTTCTGGTGTAACTGGAGAGGTTAGGGTTTGGAGGGGTCGGGGGCGGTTGAATGTGTGTGAGAAGGTACCTCCTGTAACTGCCAGCAGCCACAGAAAAGCATGAAGAGGAAACACATAACAAGCTTCACCTCTGAAAAATCGGACCTAATAACTTTGCGAGTTTCTGATTTCAAAAAAAAAAAGCCAAAAAAAACCCCTTTCCCCATTTGTTTTCAACCACGTGAAATAGTGTGATTGATAAGTAATTCCTTAAAACCATTTAAGAATAGGAGCATAACAATGGATGGAGGTTAGGTGATTTGGGAGAAGGGGAGGTGAGGAGTGTCTGTAGGTGTGTCATCCTCCATCACTACAGACAACATAGTCACAGCTGTGCTTCTCAGAGGGGACAGTGAAATAGGCATTTGAATTCATCGAATGCTCAGCTTTCTTTCCACAGCCAGCAGTTCAAAGCACGGTTATTTTTATACAGTGAGAATGTGACCGGGCTGCGAATGTGTTATCCTTTCTGCAGGTATGCCCGCGGCCTCTTTAGTGACTCCTGCTGATGTTATCAAGACTCGATTACAGGTGGCTGCCAGGGCTGGCCAGACCACTTACAGCGGCGTGATAGACTGCTTTAGGAAGATACTGCGGGAAGAAGGCCCCAAAGCCTTGTGGAAAGGAGCTGGGGGTATGGAAATAACTTGTCCTTAACTAAATCTTTGGTATTAAGTAAAGTTTTTAAAATCTAATTACATCTGTTACTTCCCCCAATTTTTTTAAAGCTCGTGTGTTTCGATCCTCACCCCAGTTTGGTGTCACATTGCTGACATATGAATTGCTGCAGCGATGGTTCTACATCGATTTTGGAGGAGTGTAAGTATCGTCGTTAAATCTGCAGCTAAATTTGAGCTGCTTCTAATACTCAGTCATCATGGAAAAAAGTCCATTAGCGTACACCCTATGGTGAAATAGAGAAGATGTAGGAAAATAGTGAAATCGTGTTATCAAACCCATTTCCAAGGGGAACGCATAACTGACTGGAATTCTACAACTCCTGTATGATGCAGATTTTCAGTATTTAAATGTCATTTTTTTACCAAATTTAAAAAAATAAATAAAACAAAACTCAGATTCTTACTCTGTTTTCTCTTCTTTTAGGAAACCCATGGGGTCAGAACCAGTTCCTAAATCCCGGATCACACTGCCTGCTCCCAATCCTGATCACGTTGGGGGCTACAAAGTGGCAGTTGCAACATTTGCAGGGATTGAAAACAAATTTGGACTTTACTTACCTCTCTTCAAGACATCAGCATCTACCTCAAAAGTTATCAGCGGAGGGCCCTAGGAGACTGACCCTGGGGTGTTGCTATAGCTTTGTTACATGGGGAAAGAGCGCCCATCTTGGGTTGAAGCAATATTTCATTCCTTTCACATCCATCTCTTGTTTAAATTCAAGTCCAGGCTTTTTATAAGGTGAAATCATTCATTTTCCTTGTGTTTTTTTTTTTAACCAGGTCATTATAAAATTATTCATAATTACTCTTTGGGCCTCTGCTCACAAACTTGTTTGCATCTGACGTTGGCTGGGATTTGATCAACACTCACATGATTTGGGAGAAAGAGCAGGTCTGAATAGAAATTAGAGGTCTTCTCCTTAGATAAGGATTATAATCCCAAAGAGGCTACAGAAAGTCAATCATGGTGCTCAAAGTGTTCTGTGCATGTTTAACTGGTAGGAACATGGGTGCTAATTAGTAAAAGTGAAAAGCACTGGAAGCAATGAAAACATGATCAGAAATAGCCAGCCTGGCTTCAGGTTTTAACCATGCACTAATTCTGCCTCTGGATTATATTACGAAGCTTTTATGTGAAACATGTTTTTTTGTAATGAAAACCACATTGAAGATGTTTAATAATAATCATGTTCTATTACTGGTACCGAGACTACTAGTGAGAAGTCTGTGCTTTAGAGGAGTACTCTTGGCATTTTATTATATGGACAGAGAAACCATGAGATGCAGCACCTCTTCTAGATGTGCTAACTTTGGATAACTGCTCATATGATACACCTGTGCTGATTACTGCCCATTTCAATAAACTCTGTAGGAAAATGCATGCCCCCTGTTCCTGGCACCTGCCCTAATTCCCTCTTGATCCCCCTGCAGTCGGCACCCATTTGCCCTCAAAATCCACTTTATCTTGAATCATGTAAGACAAATATATTCTAATGTAAGTTTTTATTTAATTTGTGGTGCCTTGCATAATGGTCAGAGGGCTTGCGTGTTCATAAAGGAGGAAATAAACTATTTTTAAAGCTACTGAATTCTTTTTTCTTTGTATGTCACATGGTGAATAATTGTCATTATCGGACTCTATATCTTTTGTTTTGAGGATTTTATTCATATTGGCATGGGTATATTCTGTTCTTTCAAGGCAATATGTACCCTCATTTTCAGTATGCCAGTATGCCATTTTCACAGTAAGAGAAACTACATTTAACCATCAATAAATAAGGAACCTAGCAAACTGACACCTTTATTCTAGTCATCCCCAGTACTTTCTGTAGTTTCTTATCATGAGAATTAAAGTAATATAAAGTTTCACTGGAAACTGGACATGAAACCTGGTATGAAATGATGGCAATTGTATTTTGTCCAACTCTTCCTCATACCAGAACTATATACCACTGTTTATCTGACATTTGGTCATTTTTGGCCAACACTATAACGATTTGGGGAAAGAAGCTTGTCTTGAACAGAATTTAGGGCTCTTCTTATACTACAGTCATATTTCTGAAGAGGCTACTGATTAATCTATTGGTAATCAATTAGAACATTTTCCTCCATAAGAGACAGCCATTTTTCAGTCTCTGTCTTGCTGTAGGTCAACAGGTTGACATTCAAATGCTGTTGAAAACTGAAAAGATCCAATGCCATCCATGAGTCTGATATTTTTTTTTTAAGTGAACAAAAGCTTGTTATACTTCCCAGAAATAGCACACCTACATACGTGGCTCCCTCCATGGTTTTAGTTTGGCAAAACCAAAGAGAAAACCCCTCCCTCTACCTATTCAATCCCCATCCCTATTCAATGTGATGTGATAAATGTTCACATTTTAACCTCGAAGACCAGTCACCAAACTCCAGATAGGTCTTAGAAATGTGGGTGGTGTTATAATAACAAAGCACTCAAGCTTCGGGCCTTTGAATGCGGAGAAAAGTCCCTGAGTGTAAATCTCTGCGTTATTTTCCTTCACTTGCATGAAATTCATAGAAGATTGAATTTTCATGCTATAAACACCGACCCAGGAATGGTGCATTGCTCTCCCTTCTTTGAGAGCTGTTGCATTTGTTGGGAGAGCATCTTGGCTTCACTTAGACTTACCTGTAGCTGAGAGCGAATCTCTTTAGTAAATGAGAAACCAGAGGTACCAGGAAGCCAAAGGAGACAGGCCCACAGGGCTGCGATTCTTTAAAATACTTGGCTTATTCTGTTTGGAGGATAGGCACTGACTTGAGACACTTCGAAGGAGGGCTCATTTCCATCTGAGTTCTCAGTGGGTGGTGTGACTGTGACATCCTTGAATAGGACTGCAATCACCCTGTGGTGAAAACCATGTCAAATTTGTTCTGGGTTTTCCTTCTTCCTGAAGTGACAGCACAATACGTCGCCAGTGTTGTGGCCACTGTTTGTGCAGCCTGCCGTTTCCCTCCTTTACACCGAGTAACTGAAAGATGTGTAACCCACACACTTGCTACCCACCCAGCCTCCCCCTGTTCTGCCAGCCCCAGAGTCTCAGCTCTGCCCTTGGTCTACATCGTGATTGCTTTGGGGGTGGAAGAGAGGCCTGACTTTTGTAGCAGCCTTTTTTTTTTTTTTTTCTGGAAGGAGGGGAAAAAATGTGAAGCTGACCACAAAGTGAACACACTGATTCTTGGGTTCCAGTCGTGGCTGGGTTTCTTGAGGCTGGGTGGCACGCTGTCGCCAAGCTCATGCTACACCTCATAACCCACAACCATTTGCTGAGCTCCCTGGGGTCGCCTTAATCCCAGCAGCCAGGGTTGCACAGGGGAAAATAAGAATTCTGGCACAGAAAGGAGTCATTTAAATGCTTATTGCATTTCAAGCTTCAGTTTTTACTTAGCTAAAATATTTACCATTTCTAGAAAACAATGTTAAAATTTTGTGCTTATATGTTATTTAATGGTGGGGGCTATGTAAACCTCAGGATGCTTACGTTTTGACAGTCTTCTGGAAACGTTTAACAGCACATAACTCAGCAAGCAGGGAATAAAAACGGGAACAAATTGTGCTTGAAACTGTAACCTCCTTCAGCTAGGTATTCAACGAGGCACATTAGAATTCCTCAGGTAGAGGGAGGGAAATCTCCAATAATGCAATTTGACGAATCCTGTCTCATGGCCCCATTTATCAACCTTCTAGATAAACCCTCTCTAAAAGTCATGTGACTTTTACCGCAGAAGCCATACTTGTGGGGATGAATTTGTATCTTTGCCACTGAGCAAAATCTCATTTTAAATTCAGGGTAATCAAATGCTTTCAGGATGTGGATTTTTCCAAAGATCTTTAAACGACATGTTCCCTGGTAAGAGCAGTGAAATGTTCTTTCCACAAATGGTACTGCCCACAGAGACGTGTGCCTTTTGTTTTACCTTTGGGAGTAACCCAGCCCTCACCAAAGAGTTCTGCTTTCTACAGACCGCAGGGGTCACTGCTTCATTTGAAAGTCTGAAGCAGCTAAAAGCATTGCCACCTCTGTCTTTTAAAACAGTGGCAACCTTCCAATTGAAAGCCCAGACCGGGCCCCATGAGGGTAAGGAACGGGTGTCTTTGATTCTAGTTCCATAATGCCTGGAACTTAGTGGGCTCTTGATTATTATTTTGAAGGATGGATGGATGGATGAATGGATGGATGGATGGATGGATGGATGGATGGATGGATGGATGGATATTTTGAGAATTTTTTTTTCAATGAGCAATCCATTATTTTCCTACTTTACAAGCCTTTTCTGCTGCTGAGTTCAAACCATAACTGAAAACAATCATAGTCTTACGCATTGTTCAGTTACTTTAAAAGTCATAAATATATCTTTCATCAAAGCAACTACAGCTATTTAAAATTGGTTTTTTAATTAGTTACTTTGAGTCAGGAACTATCATAAACTATAGGGTATCTAAATTAAAGTTTTAAAAAATCATTTCCTTTGAGATCAATATTATAGTAAGGTTAAGATATGTCATCAAAATAGCTTATCTGATCAATGACTATTAATTATTTACGACTCATTCCCTGTCACTGCCTGACGTGTATGTGCCTTCTGAGGATGGTGGCAAGTTTTCCTTTAGAAGCTGCTGAGGACAACGGGAACTCTTTCAGCAGGGTTTGTTTTTAGCTAATGCATTAATTGACTCCAAAAGAGTCCAAATGGAACACTCTGCTTTCATCTGCTGGGGTAACCTAATAAAATAATGTTGTTTGTTTTTAGATTCCTGGCTGTTAAGGGGGTTTTGCTCAAGGCAAAACCACAGTCCCCTCAAATAACTTTAGAAGGAAAATTAAGAAGACACACTAATTGTGCCTGTCTCAGGCTGCTTCTCCCAGGTCACAGACACACCCCCGCACACTGGTCTGGCCACCGGAGCTGTACTGCCCACCCTGCTTTGATTCCTGCCACTTTGGAGGATGCTTGATTTTGCAGTGGAGCGGTTCTTATGGTGATCTTAAAACAGACTCAAGCTCTCAGAACAGTCTTGTGCACGCTATAGTCCGTCCTATATGCTGGGGAAAGGAGAGTACAGGTTAATGAAAAAAGACTGATTAAAATAGTCTTATCTCTCATCACCCTGCTACCACCACCACCACCATCCTTTGCCCCTTATCCCAGTTCTTGCTCTAGTCTCTCATTGGCTGCTTTCAAATGAGAAAGGGGCAAATAATTCTACCCCTGCCCTGGAGTTCTGTGGCCAGTCAGAACCTGTTAAATATGATATTATATGCCAGGCATGATCTCATTAAATATTCCCCACAACTCTTAATATAGGTACAGTAAGTCCTCACTTAACATTGTCAATAGGTTCTGCGGCTTTAAGCGAGACGATATATAATGAAACCAATTTTATCCTCGGCTAATTGATAAAAAACAAGTGTTAGGTTTCTACAGCATCTTATCAATGTTAAAAAGAAATGACGTTGAATGAAACAATGCTATTCGAGGACCCGCTATACTATTCTTTTGCCTGTGCTACAAATGAGGAAACCAATCAGAGAGGTTCAGTATCTTGCTCGTGGTCTCTCAGCTAGCAAATGAGAGTGCTAAGATTTGAATCCAAGTCCAATGGCCACCCAAGTCTTGTACTTTCCCTATGAGGGTTTCTCAGCAAAACTTAGTACAGAAAGTTCTTATGATAGTCCAGAATTTCTTAATGCCCCCAGTTCTCAGTATCAGATGTATTATTCCTAGCTTAGAGTAGAAGGGAAGAGTGATCTCTGGTTATTTGCATTTGTTATCTCAGAGAATTCCAGAGCCTGAGGACCAGGTGAATCCTGACAAACCTTTTGAGGTTCATCTTAAAACTATTTTATAGCCTATTAAAGTCAGTAAAGAGAGTATTAAGGTAAATTTGAAGCATTTGCCCCACGGGCTTAAAATTGGAAGGTAATGTGGAAAAAGCAGAGGTAAATTTACAAACTGTTACAGTGCAACGTGATATGATGTGAACTGAACTGGACCATCTTAAATCTCTACTATAATTAGAAAATGCCATTCTTCAACAAAAATTGGAAATAATGGAAAACCGAGTTAAAAGTAAATATCTATGGGTACTTGGCCTCAAAGTGTGTCTGGAGGGAATGGAGACAGTTTACAGAATGTGGGATTTGCTGGAATTACTTTTAGACATAAAATCTCTGTCACCACTAATGGTGGAAAAGTCTTACTCTAGTCCCAACAAGTTTCTTGCTATCCCTAAAGTTAAAAGAGAGGGTATCTGTCACTGCATTTTGCTGCCCTCTCCCCGATTCTAATACAAATAAAAGCAGATTACTGACTCACACCAAAAATCTATAGCATTTTCTTTAAATACATGTATATGTATGTATTAAAATGTTATATTCTACTCCATTTTCAAGAATGATATTTCAAAGTGTGAATTTCTGTTTTGAAGCAGAATTTTCCTATATAAGCTATAAGTAGAGAGATATGCTTAATCAATTTGAGAATTTATGTCTCCTGACAATTAGCCACTCCGTGTAAGAGACTGCTTTTTATGATAACTTCTTAATTTGGGCTAGGTCCAG